GGGGCGGAGCGGGCTGACCTCGCCCCACCTGAGCGGCCCCGGAGCCCGCCTGCCACTCACTCCGTTCAAGTCCCAAAATACAGGGCCAGATACTGCGTCCTGGAGCCTTTCCGTCTCCGGGGTCCTACAGTCGGGGTTGTGTTCGCGTCATACAGCGAGCGACAGGAGTCCCCGGACGCCTCAGAAAGACGCGCCGAGGCGCTGCGCCGTCTTACGTCACGGGCGTGGGCGGGGCGTCGGGCGGCTCGTAGCCAATCAGGACTTAGATCGGCGGCTTGAAGACGGCGGTCTGCTGAGTGTCGGCTCCCGCTCAGGTGCCGTCCCGGGCTGATGACGTCACAGGCTTTCGCGCGAATATTCGAAAGGGAGTGTAGTGTGATGGGTGGGTGAAGTGAGCTGCCCCCGGGTCTCGGGGAGTCAGGGGGGCGGTGTCGCTGACTTGAGGTGGAGGGACGAAAGAATCGGCTCCGCCAGGGCAGAGAGTGAGGGCGCTGTGTGGATCCAGGATTGGCGGTCGCCGTCACAGCTTGCTCCGACTCCCGGTAGGAGTTGAGCCTCTTCACAGGTTTTCCCGGCCCCGCTTTGCAGTTCCCGCAGACGCGTGAGGACCGGAAAGGATTTTGTTGTTTGCTTTTGGGAACTGACAATGGGTCAGGTCTCCACTGTCATTTGGTTACACAAGGTCATGATAATTAGAATCTTGGCAAATGAAATGTGGATTTCTTTTGTTTATCTGGACTGGATGGTTTCTTAACGAAATACTGGGTTAGCGATTCCAAAACTTTTAAATCTGTAAGCCAATTTAAGGATTCGAAAGATTCTTCTTGTTCCAAAAGAAAAAGACCGAAAGCATGGCTCGTATTTTAGTGAGGAGGCCGAATTTTATACGTAAATGTACAAACAGTACAACACGCGTGTGTGCCCTTATGCAGTTATCACAGATCAGCTAGGGTCTCCTGACCCCTTTAAAAACGTCTTTGCACATTAAACTTTCACCCATTCGAGGTGGGTCAACGCTTGAATTGTTTGACAGGCGTGGATAGATGAAGACTTTCAGAAAATGTTTTATCCTTGCACCTCGTTTAAATATATGATGCTGTTGGCTAAAACTGTTTTTCCTGTTTAATGTTAATAAAGGAGTGTTGACTCTCCTTTGAATATAGAAGTTAGGGCTCTCTTAAATATTTTAAAATTCAGTCAGCCTTTCTTTTTTTTTTTTTTTTTAGTTTAATCCTTGTAATCTAATTTACTGCTTATGAGAGTTTGGACCTTCTTGATTTCTTTTGAGTAATAGCTCTAATTTTTTGAAAACAATGAGGAATTTATTTTGCAGTTCCCAAATAGCCTATAAGTAATCCTGAATTAGTAAATACTGTTTTCCTAATCTATAAATGTGATGAAAATATCTGCTCTTCAGGATTATGAGACTGACAGATATTATATGTAAAGTATCTAGTCCAGTTCCATCTTGATATTGTAGGTACTCAAAAGTAGTCATATAATTTAATATGAGCATGAGGACCTTGACTACTTAGTTTTAAATTTTGAATCTGCCATTTATTTACTTATAATCTTGGGCAAATTACTTACCTATTATGTACCTCAGTTTCCTTTTTCGTAAAATGAATATAAGAAATAGTATCTGCACCATAAAAGGTGAGCATTTAAAGCATTTGAACAATGTTTAGCATATAATCACACTGGATAAATGATAGCTGTTATTAAAGAGATCTAATATTAATAACTACCACATGCAAGCACTGTGTCTACACCATGTAGTCTCATCTACATATACAGAATGTCCAACCCATTCAGTGGCTGGATCAAGTTGCTCTAAAAGCAGCAGTGAATGATATCTCTCTGGACTTCCCTGTTATCTTCTTGGCATTCATTAGGCATCCAGCAATTCCAGTGGGCTGGAGGGGAGGGATGTGGGATATGGGAGTTATATCTAAGAAAGGCAGTACCCCTGTAAGTCTGGGTCCTGTCCTGTGAACTATGTCCCAGAGCAAGTATTCATATCATTTGCCTACCCCTGACCCCGTTCTTTCTCTAATTGGCGGCCAGAGCAATCTCTAAAACCAAAGTCAAATTATGTCATCTTATTCTTAAAATCCTGGCATGGCTTCTGTGCTCTTTACAGAAAATCCGAACAATTTGGCATGCCTGTAATTACTCCTTTTGTAGTCTCTGCTCTCACCACTCACCATTTTACCCTTGACTCCTTAATTGTACTACTTAGAGATCCTTGGTCTTGCGTCTTCCACAGGCCTTTGTATGGATTGATTCCTAATTGTAAATACCTTCCCTGGCATCCTCCCTTGGTTCATGGTCATTTCCGCTTACAGCTTAGACGTTACATCCTTCGCGAAGCCTTGTTTGATGCCCTAGGCCGAGCTGGCGTCCCTCCTGTGCTTATTTCTGTCTTTTTATTGTAATTACCGTTCATCACTTCTCGATTCTGAAAATTCCTTGAGATTAGGAATACTGTTTTGTTCATTTTAGTCTCTCACATAGTAAATACTAAATAAATATATGTAATTTATAAATAAAATATAGGTGGCCTAGTTTCTATGTATAAATGAGGTATTGAATCCAGAATTGCAAATTACGCTTTGTTATTGAATCCCCTACGTCTTTCAGGGCGAAATGCTCAAGTACGTGTCACTATCACCTGCAAGGCTTGTTAAAACAGACTACTGGGCACAGACTTTCTGACCTAACAGGTCAGCGGTGGACCCCAAGCATTTGAATTTTTAACTGGTTTCCAGCTGGTGCCGATGCCGTTGGTCCGGGGGTCACACCTTTGGAACCGTGGCGTTTCTGTTCTTTAATCACCATCAGCGAGTCTAGATTTCCGAGTTTGCCCAAATGACAATTTTATCCAATGGCATAGAATAACTACAGTATTCGTTGCAACCATGTTGAAAAGATTTTTGTTTTCTCGCAGAGTATTATAACATCTGGCACTAGATACTGTAGTATATTGACTTCAGCATGTAAAAGGGAAAACTTTTAAACGCAAGGGGGCCATCTTGTGGTGACCATATCAACTCAGAAAACTACAAATTGAAGCTGGCTCTATAAGGAACCAAACCTTCTAGGGGGAATCATTTTCTGATGCTTGTTATGGCACCTGGAAGAATGTTTGCAGACTACTGCAAACATGTATAATATATATATTATATATATAGAAACATTTAAAATATTTATACATTTTACTTAGTTTTCTCTTTACATGGCAGTTGCATAGTCCTGGGACTCAGATCCTCCCTCTGGTCAAGAGCGTGTGGGGGTAAAGTGTATCTGATACTTCATCTTTTCATCAGGGTGGAATATGCTTTGTCGTTTTTCATTTTAGGTGATATAAATAGTTGACTAACCACTGATTATTTTCTAGAGCTGACTGATTTATAACTTCAGAAGAAACAATGGAAAGCCAAGAATTTATTGTAAGTCTTACCATTGTTTCCTTTTTTCTTCCTTCCTTTTACACTTAACAAATGTTTCTAGAGTTGCCAGATTTAGCAGAAAACAACAACAACAACAACAACAACAGTAAAATACAACCCAAAGCCTCAGAGCGGAGCAGGGCACTTGGTTAAATTTGAATTTCAGATAAACAGTGAAGAATTTTTTAGTATACATGTGTGTGTCTCAGATACCGCCCTGTATTTTACGTGGAAGCCCCGTCTCTTGCCTGCCCTTCACATTTGCTGTACAAAGAAAGGCCTTTGGAACAAATTCTTAGGAAGCTCAGGACCAGGCAGTAATTTCTTTCTCTTGAAGCACTGGCATGCTTCTTTGTACATCGGTGGTTGTTAAACTGTTTGGTCTCTTAAAATTATTGAGGACCCCAAAGAGTTTTTGATTGTGGGGCTTATGTCTATTGATGTCTTTCATATTAGAAATTATAACAAATTTTTGAAATACTTATTAATTCATTAAGAAACAATAAACCCATTACATTTAACAGATTACTTTTTAATGAAAATAGCTGTTTTCGAAAACTGTAACAGAAACATATTGAAAAGAGCAGCACTGCTCTACATGTTTTGCAGATCCCTTTAACATTTGACTTCATTCTCAGATCTGCTTCTGCGTTAGTCTGAAATTGAACCTTGCAGCGTTGCACATACATAACTCTGCCGTAATTTTTTTTTAGTGAAAAGCCAAATAACGTCGTGAAAACGCTTTGACCTCACAGACCCCTGAAAAAGCCCTGGGACCAGCAGGAGTCTCTGGGCTGCGCTCTGAGAACTGCGCGTCGTGAGCCCTGTGACCGGACACTTCTCCCTTCCCACTGATGACTGAGAAGCTCTCAGTGGCTTTTGTTGCACAGTTAACTCTTCACTTCTTAGGTTTTGCTTCTCCTTTCTCCCTCCCTTGCCTTTCACTACCTAGTTTCTTTTTTTAAATTGATTTTTTTGATTATCGTTATGATATCTGCTTTTATTTTGATAGATGTCTTAAATATATTTTGTTTGTAGAAGGGCCTAAAAATATACAACATTTAATAAATATAAATAGAAACCATTTCTTTACTTTGTATTTTTGGAATTAAGGTACTGTATACTCATCAAAAGATGAAGAAGTCAAAAGTGTGGCAAGATGGAATTCTGAAGGTCACTCGCTGCAGAAACAAAGTAAGTGCACAGCAGCTGATGGCTGAATCGAGAGCTGGGCTCCTGCCTTTTCATGCAATGATACGAGAACTCTGTAGATGCTAAAATGTTAGGTGTCTTCATAAGCTGGCTGGACCTGAGAACAGAAGTTGCCAAATGATTCCCACAGCACAGTGATTAGTTTGTACATTTCAAAACTTCAGTAAATACTATTTATTTTTTGTTTTGAATTAGATTTTGTTGAAACTTCTTAGGAATGTTGGAGAGTGATTTAGTAGGGTGCTTTCATGCTGCTAGGCGTGGGATCCTCGGTAGCTTCTCTTCCTACCGCCTCGGCTCCATCTGCCAGAGCTGGTGTTGTCCCTGATCGGGTCTCGTGACCCGTACACTCTGGAGCCCCCCATTCTTTATTTAACTTCTGGGACACCGGCCTCCTGCTGTTGCTCACTGACCATTTCTCAGTGTCCTCCGTCGGCCTGTTCCCTTCCCAAGCTTTAAAGCTGTCCTCGGGACTCAGTCCCACGTACTGGTATAAAGAGGCGTGTAAAGCTGTATCAGTATCTCTCGCTCTCTCCCTCTGCCTTTGTTCTATCCGGGCTTCCGCTGATTGGACGAAGCCCCTTCACATTGGGGAGGGCGATCTGCTTCCCTCGTTTGTGTGTTTTATGGACACAAAACCGACATGTACCATCACATTAGTTTTAGGTGGACGACATGATTCGATATCTGTATCCAGTGCAAAATGAGCACTATAATAAGTGTAGTTAACATCTGTGAACACACATAATTACAGACTTTTTTCCTTCTTTTCCTTATAATGAGGACTTTTAAGATTTCCTCTCTTAGCAACTTTTAGATGTGCAATGCAGCGTTGTGACTGGTGCCACCGTGCTGTGCGTCACACCCCAGGACTGACTTATTTTATAGCTGGAAGTTGGCGCCTTTTGACCCCCCGCACCCACGCGCTCAGCCCCAGCCCCTACCCCCTCCGCTTTTGATTTAAATACTCATCAAGTGCTTACCATGTGCCAGGCATGGTGCTGTGCATGTGTCTGCGTGAGTCTCCTGTCCTCCCCTTCCCTAGGGGAGGAGACAGGCACAGAGAGGTGCGGTGGCCTGCCCATGCGTCCCACAGCTAGAAAGTGGAGGGTTCCTCCATGAACCTGGGGTTTTGGCTCCAGAGCCCACGTCCTAACTGTTCGACTGCCTCTCTCAATATCACTGGTTTAAAAGAACATCTTTATTACAGATGAGCTGACAACACAAAGGACACGTTGGTGAGAGACTGTGCGTCGTTAGTGAGACCATGGCCTTGGCAGTGAGGCCACCGTCCCCAGCCTGGCAGCTAACGCTCTCCGTGTCTCGTATTTATTCCATGTGGCTGTTGTAAAGTTACCTCTAGAGCAGCTTTCACTGTGAAAGGCTGCTTATCATTATCACTTTAAATTAACATTTAATTTATCAAAACAAAATTAAAAACTAGTTTTACCTTAAGTGTTCAAGTTCAACTTATAAATCCTGTGAAATTTATAAACCTAGTTTAGTTTAACTTTCAATGGGGTCGTAGCTTAATATTTAGTCAACTTAAGTTGAACAAGGTAGATACTTTTAATAATCAGGCTATTAAAAAACAAAATCTTAAATATTTTAAATTAAATTTATAAATTTGATATATTTTATTTTCTTTCTTTAGCATTAAGTTGCCCTAACAAAACCCTCCCAAGGATGTAAATCTACCTCTTAATTCTAATAAATTGTAAACATCGTTCATCTTAAAGCCTTTTAAGATTCTAATATGATTTATAAACTGAGTAAAATTTACTTATCCCTTTTTTCAATTAACAAGTAACATATCCAAAATGAATTTCTCAATTATACATTTTAATTTAGAATCATAAAACTAATCCGTTAGATACATTTAAATGTAAATTATCTAAAAATGTTACAAATACCTCTTAAAATGTAATTTAAAAAGCACAAATACTTTAAAATTCATCGATTGCCCAATTGTCGAAAGCTTGCCATTTGAAAAAAGTGGCGCCCTGATTAAACGGCCCTTGACAGCCTGCAGGACGCGTTGGAGCAGCTTGGTTTTCCCTCGAGATTTCACTGTCGTCCCTCAGCGTCTGCCTTCACCACGTGCAGGTCCTTTTCCTCTCCTGCCAGCCAGGCGGGCCATGGGACAGGCGGGTGCGGCCTTCGTGGTCAGCGGTTCCTGGACTTGAAAGGGGCAGCAGGTCACTTAAGCTGACCCAGCCTCGTCGCATCTCCCAAGGTCTAACAGCCGATAGAAATCGGGAGGCGGTGCTCGCGGGCCGTGCGGGCGCCACATGGCGGTCGCTGCTCCTTGTCCTGCTCGGCCGCTTCTCTCGAAGGCAGTGACCCTTCTCCTGCCTTGCTGCCTTCAGTTTCGACTTAGCGGGTTTCTCAGCCCCGGCCACGTCGGGTCCGTCAGACGCGGTTGTGGAGGGAGCCGAGCGAGGCGACTTCAGTGGTGGTCGCGGGGTCTGTATTCATGGACTCTGGCAGCCGTCACCACAGTCTAACTTTAGGACATTTTTGTCACCCCACACCCGTCAGTCGTCACTATTCGGTTCGCAGGCCCGGCCTGAGCCACCGCCTGTCCGCTCCTGTCTCGGTGGGTTGTCCGCTCCGGGCCTGGGCATGGCTTCCTTCCCTCGGTCCCCGTGTTTTCAGCGTCCATCCGTGCGGATCCACATATCAGGACTCCAGTTTTTTGCTGAGTAACATTCTACTGTATGGGTTTGTTACATTTTGTTTATCCGTCATCGATCCATGTGCATTTGGGTTGTGCCCACTGTTGAGTGTTGTGAGTAGTGCTGGCGTGGACGTTTGTGTGTGTTTTTGTGAGGACGTACGCTTTCATTTCTCTATGCTAAAGAGCGGACTGCTGGATCATGGGGCCACCCTCCGCTTAGTCCTTTAACGAACTGCCGGACTTTCCAAAGAGCGACAGCGCCCCTGAAGGTGCTGGCGGGGAAGCCGCTGTGAAATGGCCGAGGCACAGGCAGGAAGCTGGCGACGATCGCCACGTAGCTTCCCCCCACCCGGCGCATGCCAGCTTCACCGTGCCTCGCCGACAGCTGGTGCCGACCACTTTGAGCACTAAGCCTCGCCCAGACCTTCCGCGGCACACTGCGACAGCCGCCTCTTCACTGGCTTGTCTCCTGCTTTGCCCTCTTCAACACATTCCTGTCTGTCTGCTCCCCAGTTCCATTCACGATCCTCCCAGTAGGGACTAAGCTTTTGAATTTCTTCTCTGGGTGCTTTTGCTGTCTTGCACGGAGCGAGTAGATGCTGGTAAACATCTAAGATAGATGCCCTTTCTAACAGGTTAACAAGGCGGGTAATCCTTTCCTGGTGTGGTTTCCCTCTATAACAACTTTTCACTTGCTATCGAAGGTGTTTAAGAAAAGCAGAATTATATTGTCTCCTTTTAACATTTTTTTTCTTAACTATAGGCAATTTTATACGATGACAAAGGAGGATGTTTGGAGAGTTTCTTTCTTAAGTGCCTCGAGGTATTTTAATGTGTCTATCTTGTTTTAAGTTATTGTTTAAAAATCTCTGTAAATACTTCCTTTACGAATATTGTTTAATAGTATAGTCACAGTACTAATACTAATAATTGTAGCTAGTATTTATTGAGCATTTATGATTAGCCACATTGTGCTGAAAGCTTTCAGATGTTTCATTAAATCTCCGCACAGCCCTCTGAACTGTGGATCAGGGGCACGGCACAGAGGGTTCTTGGTAACTGGCCCACGCTCAGCGTCACAGCTCCCTCTGGGCTTTGTACCCGGGAGTGACTCTATAGTCTGACTCTTGTACACAGTTTTAGTAGGCAGAGAACTGGAGTTGGATCTATTGTAAAATTATTCCTATTTAAAATAATTTCTCATACATTTATTCTGTGTTTTTCCCCTATTGGAAGAAGGAATAGGGGAGCTAACGGCATATTTTAGTGTGAAAAGTAAGATTAGAGCTGTTCGTTCTGGATTCTTTGTCCACTGCCACGTCCTTCCTGGCTCACCTGGCCTCTGTGTCTGACCTCTACTGTAAAACATAGACCATAGACTTCACTGGGTTGGTCTGAAAATGAGGAATAACTTTCGTAAAGTGCCCAGCGGCTCAGCACCGATTCTAAAGTGTTCAGATGCATAGTCTTATTATCATTGTGCAAGTTTTGCTCATGGTATTCAATCTATTTGTAGATTTTATATGATATTAACAGTGGTTATGGTATTTTTATATTTATCAAGAGGATCTAGGAGAAACACTATTTTATTAGATATTTAATTGGTGGTAACTGCTATTATTTCATTTAAAATCATTTCATAAATAGAGATTAAGAACACTATCTGAGAATACACAGATTCTATGTATTATCAAATAGGTTGATTATTTTTATGTTGCAGTCAGATCGTGGCAAGCGCTATATTTTGTTGATTAAGATGATTTAAAATGCTTTTTTTAGAATATGATTGTTTAAGCAAACTAATAATTTGTAATAACTGATAATTATGCTTGTATTTAATTCACATTAGTTTATAAAGATACATAATTAATATTTAATAGCTCTAATGTTTTAAAATTACATTTTGTGTTGTGGATTTTAAACCATCTCCTTGAGAGGAGATTGTATTCGTATCGGCAGTATGTGACAGGAGGCCTCATGTAGGGTGCCACCACGCACTGTTGAATTAACAGATTAGTGAAATTTTTGTTGTATTACCATCCTTTTTTGTGCTCGTTGGTAGTTAACTAGTGCATGAAAAATAATTTAGTTATCGATTTATCCAGTAACTTTTTCAAGTAGCCGTTGTGTCTTTCTAGTGCTAGTGAGTCTTCTGGAGCACGTAGATGATCAGATCTGTGTGATTTTGACATTTATTCTTTAAATTAGGTGAAACCTGGAGATGACATAGAAAGTGACCGGTACTTAATCACAGTCGAGGAGGTGAGAGCTGCTGAAGGCGTTGGTTTTGAGCAGGACGTGATTAAGGAAGCACCCGTGCTCGGCTCACGGAGGACCGTGCCCACGGGCCGGTACCTGGGGTATCAGCCCGCCGGCTTAAGGAGGAAGTTCCCTGTGAGTTCCCCTGCGTAAGATGATGAGCCAACACGTATTTCTCACATCATTCCAAGAAGTAGTGAATTGTGGAGCTATTGTGCTCCGTTATTACTGTGGTACTTCATAGTATAAGCTTAGGTCCAAAGGAAGTGACCTCTAATTAGAAAAATCTTAATAAAAATGAGTTTGCATTTTAACTTCACAAACTTTATATCTTAAATTATTTACCTTGCAAAACACACACATTCCTTTCATTTCTTTCTTGTTCTTTTTTTTCAGCCAGTTCATTTCACACACTCTTTATAGGCAACAGAACAGCTAATAATTGTTTTATTATTTTTAGGGTTTTAAAGGACCGCGTCAGGTGCCAAAGAAAGTGGTTATTATGGAACACGGTGACTCAGCTGCAGCGTTCGAGGCTGAGGAGCCGGGGGGCCCCGTCCTTCTTTCTCCGTTCCCCAGTGCCCCATGTTTGTTCGCCGCTGTGGGCAGCAACAGTGTGAATGAGGTGCCAGCAGATGCCGAGAACCGTGTCGTTCACAGGGATCGAGATGGACGTGGCCCACCCTTTTCATCAGCTGCCTCCACTCCTTCCTGCAAGATTAACGCGGAAATGCCGTGTGAAGAAAGTGATTTCTGCTCACCCTTTGGTTCTGTGAATAAGCACTCAGATTCCTTACTGACCAGCGAACCCATGAAAAGGTGTAGCTTGACTTCTCACAGTTCAGGGACACCCCAGACTCACAGTTCAGGAGCACCCCAGAGCATCAGGAGCAGAGCACAGATAGTAGCTCTTCTGAAGTCCAGGCCAACTCGTACGTCCCAAGAAGTAAATCATGAGACCGTGGAACATTTCCCTCCGGTGCAGCCCCTAGGAGGGTTAGAAGTCCCCACCCACCCAGACGGCTTAATCGCACAGGAAGAGGGTGACGATGTGGGGACAGAACGTCTGCACTGTCAGCGTCAATCAGGAAATACCGTGAAGAGTAAAAGCTGGTGGGCCACATGTTTGTCCTCACAGCGTCCCTCTGCTCATTCTTCTACCGTAGTTGGTAATGATTTAGAAAGGAGACTCCAGGCCCAAGGAGATGATACAGATTTGAATTTGAAAGACCTTTTGGTACACAGAAGGACACAATTCTTGGAATCACGTGCTGAGAATGGGAGACAGTATAATGAAGACAAGCTAGCAGGTGATGACAATCCGTCCTGGGACCGGGAGGGAAGATTAGAAGTTCCTTCACTCCGTGAAAGCAGCAGCTCACCTGCTACCTGCAGCAGCACCGGAAATGGCCACTTGTTGTCAGAATCTGACGTTCAAGAACATGGTCAAGTACCTGTTAATCAGAATGACCCGACGTGCGTAAAAGGACCCATTCTCCTCAGGGCAGGTGCTCTGGAGGTACACGAGTGTGGAACACCAGGAAAGGGGTGTGAGCAGGCGGTGTCTTGTCCGCCAGGACCTGAAAGTCTACAGACTGCGTCCTCACTGAGTACCAGTCATGGCACCTCGGACACTGTCACTGACATGTTTTCCGAAAGTGGCACTGATAACGAAAGTCTTAGGACCATTCCTGAGCCCATGGATTGTGGGACACAACCAGCTCTGGAGGTAACTTTTAACTTGAACAGCTTCGAAACCAGCGACACTGAGGAGGAGTCATGGGAAAGCAGCAGAGGACCCCAGGATTCTGAGGGTTGGGCGCAGGGCACTTTGCCACGTGGCTGCGGT